ATGTTGCGACGTGCAGCCGAAATTCGGCAGTAAATCCACGAAAATTTGAAAGCTTCTGTAAACCGTAATCATATATCCCTCTGTAACATCTGAAGCATTAATGATGGAGCAGGACGAAATCACCCATTCCACATGCGTTTTCAGAGGCATATCTCGAAGAGGCTGAAAAAGAGGGTAAGAAATAGAAAGGACGAGAAGTAAAACATACAATGTTCATGCATATTTAAATTAAACCATTTGTGACGAAATGGTGAGGATATGACTACTTAGTTTAATTTGCTATTATTAAGGTGCTTTTAAGCAAGTGAATTCTAACGGATTGGAAAAAACAAGCGAAAATATCGTATGAATGGACGAAGAACTGCAAAAATGGCAATAGTTTAAAAAGAAGCTGAAAGTACGGGACTATGTAGAGTTTTAAAATACAGTACCCTAAGCAGTATTCTAATACACAAATGACTATCTCCCTGTTTTTAAAGCTATTTCAGCCCATTTTTATTTTATTGATTTTATAGGGTCATGAGCAGGCTTCATTTTTCGGCAAACTGTCTAGTTTCGCTTGTTATAGGATCACTCGTTTGGAAGTGAAACCAATGGTGGAGACTACAACAGCAGCTTCCTGATAACAGCAATGGAGCATGTACTGTTGCAGAATATATCCAAACCCACACGTCTTGGTGCAAACCAATGTACTTCTTTGTTAGACTTATTAATCACTTATGCCACGGAGGATATTGCCGACCTAAATATTCTTCCACCGTTAGCGAATAGCTAACACGCTGTTTTGTCATATACGTTAAGAGCTAGTGGTATTATATACGACCAGGTTAAGCCTCGCCCAAATGTATAGTGAGTTAACACATCAGCCATTCAGGAGTGTGCTGCTAAGACAGATTGGTCAGTAGGTACTTGGTCATCAGTTGAAGAAGCATTGTCCATACTTAAAGTCAGGTTCAACTCAGTGACGTCCTCGTTTATACTATGCCTAGTGCCACGTAGACCGAATAACTGTCCACTATAAATAACCAAACAATTCAAGAAACTTGTTAGACGTAGGAAAAAGCATTGGAATATATCCATCTCCATTGGCTTAGAGCAGCACAAAACCATTATTGTAAGACTAAGAATGCCAGTTAACTATTATTAAGTAAAACTGGACGGTCGTATGAAAAACAAATTTCTAGGGATCGTAAATATCGTCCGAAATGGTTATTCTCGTGTGTAAAAAGGTAAACTCAGAGAAGTGATGGAATTCCATCACTTGTGATATAAGAAAATCCGTTAATGAATGCAAGAAATGGTATCGAAAAAGCTGAAGCTTTATCGAAATATCTCAGTAACATGTTTTCTATCAGTAATGAGGAACGACCAACGATTCACTGTGATTGTTGATGGACCCTGTAATTATTGAGAAAGATTCTGTCTTGAGACCACTTTAGCATCTGGAACCCGATAAATCCAGTGTGAATTATGAAATCTCTATCATATTTAAGTGCTGAACCTATAGCCATACTGTTTGATATGTCTCTACAGCAGTCAAGGCTGCCAAGAGACCGGAAATGCGAAATAATTAGTCCGGTGTATAAGGTGGGGAGTAGAGACTTAGTTAGTAACTATCGACCCATTAGTCTAACCATTGCAGTTGTAAAACTATTGGAAAAGATTATTCGGATGACTGTTATAGACTATTTAGCAGGGCATACTCTTTTATCAAGGGAACAAGATGGTTTGACAAATCTCATTGCAAGAAAAGATTGGGCTGCGGCAAAATAACGGAATATTCCTGTAGATGTGCTCTTCATAGATGCTAGATCAGCTATTCTACTAAGACAACCTATAACACGCTAACTCGGACTTTTACATTACAACTGTGTGTCAGGAATAGGATGAAAAAAGTCAGACAATAAAAGACACAGTTATTAGTTTTCTTAACACTTTACTCGCTATATACACTTTTTGTTCTAATAAACCGCCTTCCTTATTCCAAACCCGAAATGGTTTCTTCACAACACTCATGTACCCCTAAGATATTTGTGAATAATAATATCTCATCTTTTCCTTCTATCTGGAACCGAGCATTTGAGAGGACATTCGAAGAAAGTTCTAAAACCGAAATTAAATCGTCTACATCTGGAGTTTCGTTCCTCGCACCGATTATTCAATTACTGAAATTATGCACCAAAACACGTAATACCAGCACCTGTTGATATAATCAGATCTGTGTAGTAAGGATAGAAGACCTACGGCCTATGTTATTCCTTTTCTCGTATGCTTCTATGAGTATCCAGTCTTCTGTTCAATGAGTCAATTGAAGGTGCGGATACCACTGCTCCGGTAACATGTTCCAAGTATTGATGACCCCGTATGAAAGCCTTTATACCATCAGTATTTCGTCCGTTTGTAGTTGGCGTCCGGGCGCGGCTGACTGTGATCACCACTACAGATTGAATAAGTGTCAGCTACCAGGTTAGACCTCTCCGTAAGACAAATATTAAAAGGTAGTTGAAGGCTCCAGTTAAGATATATTTACTGGCGATCTTGTGGTGTTGAAATAATACCGAAACCGTGCCAAAATCTAGGAGCAAGACTACTGAGCGTACGAGAGCTCGTGCAAGGCCACGAGCAGCGGAAGTGTTTTTGGTACACTTAAACAAACAGGCAGAGTAAAACAATCACTGGTACAGTTGGTTATTATATTAGTTGTTTCTATAATAACAATCGCATTCTCTTCATAAAGTTAGTCACTGCGCGTCTTTGGTTTTTCTACTCGCCCGCTGATGCGCGTTGGTCGTCCTTGACCCTGACCGGGATCGATGATCGGTTCGATAATCAGTGACCCAACTGCAGGATGATTTGGCTAGGGCTTAATGATATTTCACTGGTCCTACAGGGTCTAGCTTTTCAAGCCACTCTTTGTATGGTAAACCCCGGAGTTCGGAAATTTCACGAGTAGCTGCCCCGTGTACCTTTTCTAGGATATTCCAGTTACCTTTTAAACAGAGGCTTGCATCCTGAACGTAGTAATAGAGCTTAGTTCTCACTGTGGTTGTGTATACTGTAGTGAACATGGTGGTATCTAACTTAGTGAATGTCCATCTTAAAGCCCAGAGGGTTCTAAACCCCTTAACCGAGACTTACTGGCAATGAGCTTTAATCTTAAGATCATGACTTACTGTTACCCCAAGATCCTTGTGAAAGCGGACCACGGGTACAGACACTTCCCCTATGCGGCACCTATTAACCTTTGTATTCCAATGTGCATGTAGAAACATTTTGCCTCGTTGATGAACATCAGATTGGACTTTCACAGAGCTCAAAACTGCAAGGATTAATATAGGTCGATAGAACTCCTATCCTAATTACTGAGAACTAATGGCTGAGGAAAATTGTCCTCTCTATACCTTCAAAAATCATGGACTCTCCGATATGCGATGGTATACATGAACATTTACTGTCCTTAAATTTCTTCTCACCCCAACAGCATGGTTTCAGGAAGGGTTACTATGATGATTAGTAGTATTTGAATTTTAATATGAAGTAAGAATCCCAAAAATAACGCAATTGGATCAAGAAGTACTAGATAAGCACGAACGAATGTACCGTATTTGGGATTCGAAATCAAGCATTCAACAAGTACAAAGTAATCATTATTTCGTTCAAACGCCACAGTTACTCTTGTATAACCAACATGCTGATTGCGGTGGACAGATGGACAAGCATCCTCGACCGCAAGGGAAAGGTTGATATCGTTTACCTTGATTTCTCAAAAGCTTTTGATAAGGTTAACCATATACGTCTTATCAGTAAGCTCAAACGATTGGGTATCAGATCACCTCTAATTGATTGGCCCACTTCACATCTGAAAAATCGATATTTTAGGGTCAGAATCAACACCACTTTATCTCAGGCTATGGAATATCATAGTGGAGTCCCCCAGGGCTCAGTACTAGGGCCTCTTTTCTTGATTTACATAAATGATCTTACACAACAGGTATCGTCAGACTTATTACTTTTTGCTGATGATGTGAGCTTTTGGAGAGAGGTACACAACCAAGACGATATACAGGCACTTCAGGAGGATCAAACTCGACTTCAAAGTTGGGCATACGATAACGGACTTACCTTTAACACTACAAAGTGTAAAGTAGTCCATCTGCGACATGTCGCAAACTACAGTTACAACTTAGGAAACTCCTCTCTAGTAGTATCCCAAGTCGAAAAAGATTTAGGAGTCCTGGTGCCCTACGATTTAAAGTCTTACGCTAACTGTGACAAAAATGCCTTCCGAGCAAACCTTGCACTGGTAACATTGAAGCTCATTTTTGGACAGTTTGACGGACGAACTTTCCATACAATCTTCAGCAGTTTTGTCCGTTCCCATTAAGAGTACGGAAACATAATACTCCCCCTTCACTCCAAAAGGATAAGGTCACTTTGGAGCGTATCCAACGGCGAGCCACGAAATCAGTTCGAGGACTCAAATCTAAACCATACGAAGAACGCCTCCATTCACTAGACCTTTACTCATTAGAGTATAGGCGTCTTAGAGGTGATTTATTAATGGTTTATAGCATTCTTAACACTTCTGGACATCCTCTTAAACACCTACTTAAGCTTAGTTCGAATAATAACCTAAGGGGTAACACCCAGAAACTGGAAACACAACATAGCAAGACGGAATGTAGACACAACTTCTACTCCTTAAGAGTTGTCAAAAGCTGGAACTCGCTGCCGGCCGAGCTAGTCCAAGCGACTTCTCAGGAGTCCTTCAAGAGGCAACTTGACCTATTCTTAAGGACCAAGGACAGCATCACACTATGATTTAACAATTTCTTTTCCTCTTTTATTGTTAACATACCTAGGTTCCTGCCTGGAAGATTTGGTGATCCCCTGCTACTAGACACGGAAGCCTGTTAAGCGAAAGCTTCTTCTATTCCGTCCACAACCATTTGAACCATTTGAACCATTCTACTCCGTCCACAACCATTTGAATTACTTGGCTACTTACTACTCTGGCGGGTTTTTGAATGGGTTGGTTTTGAGCTTTGGTTGGTATATCATATTGAACCTTCGACACAGTATATTGGCAACCCATTGTGCAGAAGTGTTTGACAGTGTGGTTGAGAAAAATTAATCAGTCTGTGTTAATTCTATCACGATACTAGACATCAATACTTTTCTTAGATTACTAGACATCAAGGATAGGATTTAATGTAAAAAGGACAAAGCAAAAAGAACAAAGTTTGAAAGGTGGATAACTAGGAGTCGACTGGGACCCAAGTCGGTCACTTTGCCTGTCCTTACAAGTTCATTTATTTCAAGAAGGCGACTGCTATAGCAGCCGATATAAATAAACATGAACAAACGCGTAATATTAAAGCTGAGTATGATGTTTACCTGCAAAGGACGTGTTAATGTGCTTGTGGAGTTGTCGGTGCATTCACTTCTGAGTAGTTCTACTAAATGCTTGTGTAATTTACAGATATAGATACATATATATGCTTATATGCATTTGTTGTATCTGATGACTTGTCTTGGCAATTAGTTCGCGGTTTATAATGGTTGATAGCTTAGGTAAGAGTTGTGCGATCCAAGTCAGAGCTTCCGAATTGTTTATTTCGCATGTTTTTCAGACCCTATTATTTCTGGGTCCTATCTTTATTTACTGTTTATAGAGTTAATTAATTTATGTGCTTTGCATCCTCACGTGTCACCTGTGGATGAAATAAGTTAGTGGTCGCTGTATAGTATATCTGATTTTTCGATGCTACGTCCTTATGACATTACGTTTCGTTTCTGCTACACAGGTTGAGTAGCTATATACCCTATAACGTCGTCTCTGTTCTTAATGATGAAACATCGGTATGTGGGTATGTGGTGTGTCTTTATGCATTATTCTCTTTTCATTTCACCACCTCTCATACAAGTCACTTTCTTAATCAACCGGTGGGTAATTAGTGCTCACTAGTGGAATTCTCATCTCAATCTCTTACCAGGTCTTCCGCAACCATTATGGTGGTTGAAATTGTGCAATAATGGTTTGTTAAAACTGTTCCAAAGCCAATTATTTGGTCGGTACATAATAGTTATGCTGTTTATTTCAGATTGTGCAATTGACAAGTGAGTACTATGAAAACCATGAAGATGTAGTTGTCACAGTGTTATGGGAACACCAAGTAATTAGATAAGCGGAGTTAATTGACAAATTCGTTTATTTTACGCTTAGTTGTAGTAGATAATTAAAACAGAAAAATAGCACAATGAAGTCAATCTTAGGAATGTATTCACACCCGGATGATAGCCTACGAATATATTCGGTCTGTTCAGTAATCTGTATAAAAGCAGTAGAACTTAAGCCGTAAAAATGTGTTAGTTATAACCACCCAATTTGAAAGCTGTATCATAGCCCCAGTAGGGTTCAAAGATTTCCTGCACGCTCAGTCATTTTGATGGCTTAGAGTATCAATTCTGGACTTCTTGAAGATGTTCTGTCGTAAGTAATGATTTTTTAAACACAATACACAGTACTGAGAAATAATTTAAAATTTGACACATTTTTTCAACTAGATCAGATCAACTCAGCATATATTTCCAGTGTACGAATTTATTTTAACGAATATTCATATCTTTAAATTTACTGCCTGCAGAAGTGTTGATAATATCTATTATAAATTAGCTAAGTGTACTACTAAAAAGACCAATGCATATTTTCCGTTTTTTGGTCGTTGAAAATTTAAAGAATATGATTGGAGTCAAGTCCTACACTATTTCAGCTTCTTATTTGTTTTTGATCTTAGCTTCAGCTGGAAAATGTTAAGCTCCTGAATCTGTTTTGTATTTATCTAACTTGGGATGCCGGGTAACCTTGAGAACTTTGAGGTGATAGAGCTGTCAATGTTGAAGAAACATATGTTTTTTCCTCTTTCTGGTTTGGGGAATTTTACTGCTCAGACTTTATTATATCCATTCGTCTTGCTTCGTACAAGACTCCAACTTCAGGAAGGTGCCCAGGTTTATCGTGGTCTTGTACATGCAATTTCTTCTGTTGTCAAAGAAGAGGGTTTTCGAGGATTGTATAGTGGCTACTTGGTCCGATCATTTCACATATTCTCAGGTGGGCTGCTTCTTTCTGTTGTGTAGGCTTTAGTTCTGGTGCCGAAAATCTCTAGAACGGCCTTTTACATACTTAGGTGGCTGTTTTACCTTTTTAATTTTTTAAAAATAAGCACTTAAACAATCTTCACTTTTAATTATTATCCTTGTTAAATAATGTACTCGTCATGAACGTTAATAAGCATTACATACATCATATTTTGGAGACGATTAACGTCATCAACTTCTATTGAGAGAAGTCCGTCGCAGCAAGATATAATTCCATCTTCCTAAATATATAAATATCCGATGAAAAAAATAGTGTTTAAAAGTTTCTTATCAGTTGTAGGAGTTTACTTTAGTCAGCCAGTCAGTCATAATCATCATAGAACGTATCACAAATGTGTATTGGTTGTTATAGTAAAAAGGTTAGGCGTCGAGAATAGGATTTGAGAATAGTGAACAAATGTGCGGAATGAAAGGTTAAAGATAATTTCGAAGCTCGGGGTCTAGGTGTAGACAAAGAATGAATGATTCTGTTTCGTTGTTACTGATTTTAAGTAATATATAGCACATTCAACAGTTAGTCACAATAATCGCACGAGGCTCAACCAGATAATTTGCGTTTAATAACATGGCTCAGACCAACAGTCAATAACTTCCTTCCATATCTTTGATTAGCTGCCTCTTATTTATTTATTTGTTTATTTGAACACATAAACATAGGTACAAGAGGTCACCAAGCATATATACGCCACATAATAACAATAAGGCCAGTAGTAGTTATTATTGGTTTGTGTGAGGGCTATGATACTATCTGGGTGCCCAAACCGAGGCAGGTGGTTTTTTTAGGGAGCCACACCCATAGCCTTTGACATAGAGGTCTAATCCACAAGGCAGTGGGGCGATGATAATAGATGCAGTCCTATGGTAGCCGGTGGCCAACAATAAGTTCATACGCTACTTATTACTTCAGGATCCTGAAACCCATGTGCACCATTGGTTTAGAACCAAGGTTTTCCAACTCTTCTAGATGGACCCTCTGTGTCCGCCAACCCTGTTAAAACGCCGGACATTCGCTTTTCGTCCTCTAAATTTCGTAAATAACACCCCGAACACAGGAAGGTAATGAGTAAGACTTCCATATCAGTGGCTGTATACGCGTGGCCATATGAGAGCATTTGGAGACGAAGAGTGAACACTCCACCCTCGACTAACACTCACTAGCATGCATTCATGAGCCATCAAAGACCCTATTTTCGAAATTGCCAACTTGGTGAATTGGAATAAGACGTTAGTTCTCAAATAATTAATTAAAACTCAGTGCATTAAGTGATCCTCCACAATAGACAAATTAGCCTATTTTTTAAGACCTCTTATATACATTGGTTTTGGGACCCTTCATGTTCATTTAGCTATGCAGAATTTGGGGTAAGGAATTTTTTAATTTGGTGTGGGTTAGTTTAAGACAAATTCATCTATGTTTTTATCTCATGTTTATTGTCTTATCAGCACTGAACGTTATGGCTACGTCATTTTTCTTTCGGCATTTAGTCGAAAAATGTTATAATTTACCCAAGTTTTCTCATATTTCCTCCCTCAGTCAGTCATACGCCACTTATAACCTAACATGTATGTGTATCGGTTCAAGTTGCCATAACATAGCAGGATGAGATAAAGTTATCAAGACAAATCTCAGAGTAGTAAAATTAGTAGTAGTCGTAGTCAGTCAGTCAGTAACAACGTAGAACTTCGCACGTACGTACATCAGTTCGAGTTGCCATAACACATTAGCACAGAGATGCAGTTGTGGACTCAAATCCCATAGTGGTATAAGCAGTAATCGGAAAGATTAGGGTTTGAAGATGTTATTCAAGGAGTATAATACAGCGAAATAAATTTGAAAAGAGGGAAAGAGAAATACAGAGTATTCAGAAGACTATAATTTGGGAAAACAGAGTGGATGCACCTACGCCATCGCAAACGATTTTGAGCAATGTCATTTAGGGTCTCTAACCATCGGTTGCTATCATCTCGCGGTCCCCAACCACGTAGTCTACACCTAACAACATGGCTCAGTCCACTTGTCAGTGACTTCATGGATTTGTGCCATGTTTCGGTCTGGCCACCCCTAGCTTTCCTCCAACCTACTCCTACACCATAAAACATCGCACTACTTCATCAATGGATTTACCATCCTTACCTAGTACCCGTTTCCTAACAACTGCATTACTTACTCGCCGGTCCCAGGATATACGAGCAATGTTTCGAAGACACCTATGATTGAATACTAGTTACCTACGAATATCCTCTACTCATACCGGCCATGTTTCACTGTCATTAAGTAGTATAGGACGAACTTCTGCACAGTAAACACATCCTTTTTTTGATAGACGGATACCTCGCCTACGCCATAAATGACTCAAGTTGGCAAAAGCTAGTCGAACCTTCTGTATCCGTGCTGAGATTTCGTCACACACCACACCACAAGGGCTGATGAGACTTCCAAGATAAGTGAAGCGGTCGACACTCTCAATTACTTCACTTCCTATCATTAGTTCGGGTGTCGATGCAACCCAATCCTGAAGCAACATTTCGCGTTTCGAGGGGGAGAATCGCATGCCGAACATGCTTGCATTGTTGCTTAGAGTGGTCAGAAGACTGCATTTTGTCAGCGTCTTCACCAAATAAAACTATGTCATCAGCATATTCTAAGTCAACAAGTGAGTCTCCCGGTAAAAGTTCAACCCCTGGAAATCTAGATGAGGGAACTGTCATCTCTAAAAGCACGTCAAAAACAAAGTTGAACAAGAATGGAGAGAGTGGACAGCCCTGACGAACACCACTTGAGGTAATCAATTCTGATGACAATTCGCCATAAGTTCTCACTCGACCAGTTGTGTTCGAGTAGAGAGCCTTTACAAGGTTAATGTACTTCTTTGGTACTCCTTTCAATGACAAACATTGCCACAGAACCTCACGATCAACGGAGTCGAATGCCGCCTTAAGGTCGAGAAATACTACGATTGTGGGACGTCTGAATGTGTGTCTGTGTTCTAGAACCTGACGTAGTGTGAATATCTGATCTAAACAACCACGCCTGGTTTTCTCTAATCTGCTCTTCGCGAGCTTTGATTAGGCGTCGAAGTATTATTGAGGCTAATATTTTAGACACTATATTAGTCTAACTAATTTCTCTGTGATTGTCACAAAAGGACTTTTGTCCTTTCTTATAGACTGGCACAATCAGTGATTGAGACCAGTCAGATGGGATTACATCCAGTTCCCAAATTCTACCTAAGACCTCAGTCAATCTCACTGCTAATACTGGAACACCATCCTTAAAAATCTCAAGAGTAAACCTGTCAGAGCCTGCTGCTCTCCCTCGCTTCAGATTTCCTATAGCTTATTCAACTTCGTAAAGAGTCGGAGGAACTGCATTAACTTGTCATTCAGGTTGACTGGAGATCGTGGGAAACCGCAGTGTAGTTGAAGGCCAGTTAAACTGATCCCTAAAGTGTTCTGCCTATCGATCCAATCTCCTGGATTGAGAATGTATAATATGTTCGTCTTTCTCTGAGATTGTTTCGCTAACAGTCGGGTTCCTAATACCGGTTTCCTTAACAAGTCTGAACAATTGTCTGCTGTTACCTATTGCCGCTGCCTTTTCCATCTCTCTTGCTTTCGCTACCCACCACTTCACAATCATTGCGTAGACTTCTTGTCAGCTTGAGCTTAAGCTGACTCCGCTCTTCATTATGTTCAGAGCCAGATGGGATGAGTAGTCGTAGCTGAAAAGACGGTATTGAAAAAGTGGTTTTCCCTTTGATATTAGGTCGTGGGAGTATTCAAAATATTGTGTGACGGATCTTCGTTTTTTAAAATTAGTTTTTAAATTAATTTCTATTCTTAACTAGGTACTATCTACGTTTCCACATATGAAGTAGCCAGACAAGCATGTACAGTCTTTCCAGCACTAAGTCCTGTTCATCGATCTTTTGTTGGTGGTGCAGTGGCTTCATGTATTGCTCAAGGTTTTTTCGTTCCGATTGATGTTGTGTCTCAACACTTAATGGTTGTGAATTGTAATCGTGTTCATGCAAATATGGTCGACAAAAATTCAAATCTATCATTTAACCCACACCGTTTCCGTCCATTAACTCCGGTTCATTTAACACAAAATGAAATGAATTCCAATTGGGGTCGTCTTTGTGGCGTAATTCGTTATATTAAACAGACTCACGGGTTAAAAGGTTTCTACAAAGGTTGTTTAATATCTATGTGCACTTTTGTACCTAGTTCGGCATTGTGGTGGTCTTTTTATGATAAATTTTGTAGTAAGTTGTTTAAAGTTGTTATTCTAACCATTATTATTATGCATAATTGGTCGATAGTAGCTCCTTTACTGGCTCGATAATAGTGCTCGCTTATCTTGACAACCCAGTTGACCTTTATTACCTGTATCATATATTCTCTATGACCCTACTATACTAACCATGTTTACCGGAAATTGGTAAGGCCTGATGAGACATATAATAAAAACAGTAGTCAGTGCGCCGATGCATATATGTTCCTGGTCCTACGTTGTAGCTGACTGACTGACTCAGTGCGTCTATTTTCTTCATTCCCAGAGGTTAGACTAAGTGTTAACACAGATGAATTGTGGAGTAACGGAAAGGGGAAACATATTTGAAATATGACTACATTGTCGTCTAGGTTGTTCAAAAGGTTGTGTTTTGTCGTATTTAATTCAGTGTTATCCTCATATTCTGGTTTGTTTGGGGGATGTCAAAGTAGGAATCTTACCCTTGAAAAGTAAACTACGAAATTATCATTTCTAGAAGTGTATTTGATTAAGTTGGATAACATCAGAAAAGTGGAAAGCCCTGACAACAACCACTTGATGTAACCAGATATTACTAAGTTCACCATAGGCTGCGGTGCAACCAATGATTTTCAGCAAAAAATCCTTCATAAGTTAACGTACTTCTTTAATCCGTTTTTTAACTACGGATGTCTCCATAAAACCTGTTGACCAACAGAGTCAAGGGCAACTTTAAAGTCAAGAGCTACAAATATTGTCAGGTGCCGGCAGGTTTATTCATATTCCAAAACCTGAAGAGGGGTGAATACTTGATCGACACCCAGATGTGAAACCTGTTTAGTTTTCTCAAAGTCTCTGTTCCCGAGCTCTTAAATTCTTAAATACTTAAGAACTAATCCTAAGGAACTCTGAATATTATAAAAAGTGTAAAAAACTGGCAAAGTTTAACCCCACAAACATTTGACGTATATGTGTTTAAAATATACCATATACTACCAACTAAAGTAACTGTTTGATACGCAGTAGTTTTTCACTTCTTCAAAGCTCTGTAAAGAGCTTTCTTATATTTCTGAGTATTGTTTCTGTTTGTATGCATGTGTAAGTCAAGCTTATTTAATATTCTTTGAAGTATAGCGTTGTTTGTTACGTACGAAACCATCAGTATTTTTTATTGTAAACATAATTAATATGATTTCTGTCTGCATGTGCTAACAATCATCATGATAAGAACGACAGACAAAACTGACCATTTTTTTCTCCAGCTAAAAATGCGGAAGCCAGGCTCTTGTTTATATATATATATATTTTTTTCTCCCTCTTTATTAGATCTGATCCATTTTATTTCAAAGAAAATGTGTAAGGAACATGTTCAAGACTCGGCATTGTCACTATCAAAGGATGATTCTGCTCCAGTTCCAAGGTTATTGATTCAATTGATTTCGGCTCCTCTAGCTGGAATTTCATCTGCTATTATTGTTAATCCTCTTGATGTTGTTCGTGTACGAATGCAGGTGAGTTTGTTTTTTCTAATAGTACAATTTTTCACGTTATATAAGTCATTTTTCGGACTAAATTTTCTTTAAATTTTGAAGGAAATATTTTCTGTCCAATCGTTCCTATGATATAATCAGATACTAAATTATTGTGTCTGATTGCACATCAAATATATTTTTATCATTTCGCAAAAGGTTATTTGATTTTTGTTAGTGTATGCAGTCGTTCGTGCCTGTCACTGATATGCCAGTTTCCTGTACACTATCTAAGCCACATTTTCAACCAAAAGTGTTTGTATGTCTCCTCAGAAAGTTGAGTCGAATCTTCGCCTTTCTTTACTGAGAAATAAGTCTAGATTTTTTTATTAGACTGAAGGAAATGAGGTAGAAGTAGTGTGGGGACAGGGTACATCAATTTTACTTTTATAAGTTACTAACTATTGAAATATTCGTAAGCTTATTGATAATTTTCATGACAAATCATTGTTATTCGCCATGTGATATTGAGAAAGATATGAAGTACTTACTATGTAGTTTACTGGTCCTTATGCAATATGTGTGGTTTCCCTAATAATGTAACAAGGTCAAGCTTGTGGAATACTAACTGTAGTCTAACTACAATTGGATTATAGTGTAGGAGCCGGTGTTTCATGTGTAAAATTAAATCTTTTAATGGATATGATTACTAACTTAAAAGAAGATGGTTCGATCAAATGCTCTGTTTATTGTAAAACTACGTGAACTGGGTAGGTTCAACGGTTACTGTTCATTTAATCTAATACAAGCGAGATTTGATAAATGGTTTATTTAACGGGACCAATCATTATTTGCATAAAATATGCTACGCTTTTACTATCAAAAACTATATCTACATCACCCTAACATTTAGAAGTGAATAGAATAGTCTCATAGTCAAACAAGGGCTTGGATCAGCGATCGGTGAAACTTATTATTATTTATTTATTTCAACACATAAATATTGGTACAAGGGGACGCCGTATATATATGCGCCACACAAAAATGATATTTACTGAAAAAATTCTATTCACGCTTCAATTAACAATGAAATTTATTACACAGGTAAGGTCATCATAATTAAAATAAAGAAGTTTCACTGGTTGAAATCATGAGTCAATTGAAGCTAGACCACCATGGAAAACCTGAAAGCACTGGACGGCCGTTTCGTCATGGTATGGGACTCCTCAGCAGTGCGCATCCACGATCCCGCACCCCGCGGGATTCGAAGCCGGAACCTACTGGTTTCGCGCGTGAGCACTTAACCATTAGACCACTGAGCCGGCATCCAACGGTGTTAATGTCTAACTTCAACCAATCCACGAAGTTGCGCCACCGTACACCATTGTCTTCAGTGAGTTACTATCTCACAACAGACCTGGTTAAACTCCACTGGTAACGACTTCTCACTAGAACTCCAGGAGTGTCTCCTGAAGTCAGTCACTAGTGAGCAGGTAATTATTATTATGAGAATGGGTTTTGTGGAGATTTTTAGAAATTTCACTGGTTGAAACCATGAATACCAATAGGTCCTAGGTTCGAGTCCCGCGGGGTGCGGGATCGTGGATTCGCACTGCTGAGGAGTCCCATACCATGACGAAACGGCCGTCCAGTGCTTCCAGGTTTTCCATGGTGGTCTAGCTTCAATTGACTCATGATTTCAACCAGTGAAATTTCTAAAAATCTCCACGAAACCCATTCTGATAATAAAATGAGGAAGTCTATTCTTTACCAAAAACCCAAATAAAGTATAAACATTTGGGTCACATCTCATTTTGTTTATCATTTTGTATATACATGTATGTATGAACACATAAGAGGAGTTGGTCGTGATGCACTAGTAAAGTTGGGTGAAGATAGTTAACTATCCATCTTAGATCATGGGGTTAATCTAAACTCACCCTTCGTAGTTTTGTACAAGGCGAATTTTAGAATGTATTGAACCATTAACCATGCGAAAATTCATAGCACTGTTATGTACTTAAAAAAAAAGTTTTTATTTAACCTAAGCCTATCTTGACGATGTTGGCTTCGATTTTGTAGATCATGAGTACTGTAATTCATGTTTTTTTTGCTTGAACATATACTTCTATTTTTCCAGATTGACCTGTCTCATTCACATATAAGTATACTAAAAGGTTAATGTATGATTAGACTGTTTAGAATGCCATTGAACTCCTTATATCATATAGTGCTTATAACAGACCTAAATTTATAGAAAAAACAAGTGGTTCTGAATAATATATTTGGTATTCATCTTTAATATTGTTAGGCTACTTTGGATAAATATATAATTAAGTTTCGATCATGTAATAAGAAGACGAAGATTATCAGAACTATGTGATATATTTGCGCAGTACATTTCGAACAATCTGATCACACATATACTTGTTAAGAACATTTATATATGAAAATTATAAGGTCAACTTGACAGGTTAAGGGTAAGTTAAAGTACACAAAAACAAATGTGATTACCACTCTGGATAATAAATCAGTATTACCAGGGTAGGTTAAGTGTAAGGACAAATTGTTTTTGAACACTTAAAGGGGGTTTCAGTTTCCGTATAGACAAGGCTTCAATAAACCTTAGTATACGTCCTTGAAGGCTTTTGTATGACACTACAAATGCTGATTTGACGTCAACCTTATGACCCGTCTCAATCAAGTGTTTCGCAATGGAGGATGATGTCTGTCTATCCTGTGATCTTAATTGACCATTGGAATCCATTTGTTTCTGCAACTATTTTAGTATGTGTTCCATCACCCCTTAATTGCAAATCACGATTGCTCCTCCCTATGTACGTGTTTCCACACATACATGTAAATTGATAGACAAAATCGCATTCGTGCTGTTTGGGCTTTTGGTGAAACATAGACCTTGTCTTTTCGATAATGACAAGGCGGGCTGCTGTTGGGATATTCAGGACTCAACTGACTGGGCTAGACAGGGAAGCGGGGCCAATCAGAACCCTAGGTCGTTCTACGTGTTTGTGCGTCTTTGGTCCGATCAATAATTCGCTACCCTTTAATCTGCTTTCACAGTTATAGCAGCTGCATAAAATGTCCGGTTGATAGCTAATTTAAGTCTCCGTTTCAACATGAGACTATTTGTGGATTACCAAAAATTCGTAAGCCTAATACCCCCCTACATCCAATTCTATCAATGTGTCGGTCGGAAGTGCTCACTGCTACTGCTTCAGCCGTTTGAAGGACTTTCAGTTTGACCAGTTCTGGCAAAAAATTACTGACCTTATAAATAATTGAAAAAAGATTGGTTTATACTGGCACTATGACCGGTTTATACTAAATGGGCCAATATTGAGCTGTTCACTTTCTTCATCAAACCTTTCTTTAGCCACCTTGGAAGGTGTTCACGACCACGAAAATGTAAATTCCTAGAAATTCAACCAATAAAACTCGCTCCACAAGAGCAGTCGAACTGATAAATACAAATTGAGGTGGTCATTCTAGATAATTCATCTTTCAGCCCCAATGTAACCATTGGGCGCGTAGAAAATACTAATCGCAGTTCTCCGGCGTTAAAGGACTGTTGTATTGTCCTACATAATCTCTGAGTTAGTATTTCACTGGTCGCATCCCCTCTGAATTGTAGACGCATGAACAGGAATTTCTTCTTCACTGCTTGTATTTCGCCTTCGTGACGATATATTTAATTATAAACGTTCTAGGGTAGCCGTTCTCCTGAGAGTATTATGCAAGGTGTTAAGCTCTTGTAAAACTATATCAGCAGAACATATAGTGCGTATACGGTAACTAAGGGTTTTGATCAAGTTTCGTTTGTACTGTAGAGATACAAAGCTCAGGAAATTCGTATACTGCCCAGTCCATGTACTTTTTCTGTTTAGGTTCCTTTTTAACTATCCATCCACTCCCTTAGTCAAGAGAACGTCCAAAAAGGCTATTCGGCCATCACTCTCTTCTTCAGATGTAAACTGAATGGCTGGATGCACTTCATTAATAATTTATATTCTGAAAATAATAATTACAGAATTCACGCCAGTTTACAGGCATGATCAATTTGATATAAATAATAACATTAGACGTGCAGAACAAACATGTGATAAAAGAAGGTTTTAAGTATACTAGTTCAGTAGGTGTTTAATTAGTACATATATTACAGCGATCCAATGCATCAGCCGGGAGTTTTTAATATTTCTTAAATGGACAGCCTGTTGATTTATGAACGGTGTAATTAAGGTCAATTCGTGTGCCAGATCGAAATAATGATAATTATCTACAACTAGAGAAATTAAAACGAAAACAGAGAGCACGGAACAACAAAAAGTAATTACCAAAATATATCAATCAGGTCTACCTAAATGCGTGTGTCATGTGACACAGTGATATACTGTTTATGTTATTCAAATTAGTTAAAGTTGCTGGGGACGGTGTTAACATAAAGTGCCAACAAGTAGGTGGTTTTGCTTAGGGGATTCACTAATAAAGATGGCTAAACATTTAAGGTTTCTAAAATATCACTTGTGGAATGAGATACACTTAAAGGCACTAGACCATTCAATGCATTTTCAGAGGAGCAGTATGCATCGATGCAGCGAACAAATAATGGGAGTGATTTTATCGTGCGGATAGATTGTGGTAGGTTATTCCAGAGTCTAGAAAATTTACAGGTGAAGTAATTCATATAAAGAGATGATTTAGAATGAGTTTGTTTCACTAGTGCCAAGGAATTATGGATGTCATAATGAGAGGTTTCTGCATATTGAATCGCGTGATCGGATGTAAACGATAGTTTATGAAGTAGTTTGAAGAAAAAGGTAAGATTTAGTTTGAGTCTCCTCCTCCATAAAGGGTCTAGCCCAAGTTTATTACATCTAAGGTACAATCAGCTCCAAGAATACGAAGTGTAAATCATCTCTGTACTGATTCCAGCCTTAATTTATCCTTTATGCGCGCACTGCTAAGAATAAACGTGCAATATTCTAGAAGAGGTCGAGCACAAACTTTGTGCATTAGAATACGTG